TCTTCTTCTATTTACTCTGTTCTTCTTCTATTTACTCTGTTCTTCTTCTTCTTCTATTTACTCTGTTCTTCTTCTTCTTCTATTTACTCTGTTCCTCTTCTTCTACCTTTCTTCTGATTGGACGCTGCTCCAGATGTGTAGCAGAGATTCATATTTTATTATTTACGTTGGATAACAGATTTCTCACTGTTGATTTAAAGCGACAGTGTTATTGTAGAATCTGTTTATTTATTTATAATATTTATCACATTAGAGAAACTTTCATTGTTTGATGTAGACTGATTGTTTACCTCTGTCTCCCCAGTTTCGTCGTCAGTAACGGCGTCTTGTCGCGCAGCGGCAGCCTCCACTTCACCATCGAGCACGGTGACCGCATCCCCCCGACCCTCCTCCACAATGCCGGCCTCCGGTTGCAGGACGGAGCCACAGAGACCATCCCCCCCGAGCGGCTGCAGCTCACCGACCCCGACACCCCCGCGGCCAACCTGAGCTACATCATCACGCGGCCTCCGCGCTACGGTAAGCTGCTGCTGAGAGGAGCCCCCCTGACCCCCCCGCTGAGGTTCACCCAGATGGACGTGGACAGGCTGGACCTGGCTTACCGGCACGACCTGGGCAGCCCGGCAGAGATCGACAGGTTCTACTTCCTGTCGACTGATGGAACCAACAGAGGATACCTGGAGTTTGGACAACTGAGAGAAGAGCCTGCTGTGTTCAACATACAGGTACAGACACACGCACGCACGCACGCACGTACGCACGCACACACAGGTACACTCTATATTCTTTTACTTCTTAAAGTGAATAAAAAAAAAAAAAAGATCCACTGAAAAATCAAATTGAATTTTTTAACTCACGGGGAAAAAACTGATCATGTGACAGTAGCGCCATCGAGTGGTGGAAAGGCTGAACTGCATTTTTCACTGATTCTGAAATAGATGATAATTTTATTTTCTTCAGTCTCTCTCTCTCTCTCTCTCTCTCTCTCTGAAATTCTAGAAAAAGAAGTGGAAGATAAGATTTTGTTTGTTTTTGAATCAACATCTTAATGAGATAAATTATCTTCAGTCATTTTATCACTGAGCTGAAACCAGTTTGATGATTGTTGTAACTTTGTGTTCACATCAACACACTCTCTCACACTCACACACACACACACACACACACAC